ATATGCACAAAGCTTCTGCATCCCGGAGGATTGCATCCAGGTCAATATGATCGCTCAACTCATTAATGAATTTCAAAAGGGTGTCGAAGTCCATTTGCTCTCTCATTATCTTGCTGCGATGGCGCTTCAAAATTGCAACACACACATACAGGTGCAGGTGCTCTGACAGATAATGTGTCCATAAGACCTCCCACAATCGCATTATCATTTCATATTCAAATTTCCTGAGAAAAATGCATCAGAACAAGAAAAGTCAGCTTGTGCATCTCTCAGATGATGTATCAGTCCATCAGAAAGAACAGAATTTATTGGAAAAAAAGGGGTTGGGATCACACAACTACATGCATCAAAGTTAAGGCTAAGACTAGGATATTATAGCATTATACGAAAAGAAATTGAGGAACGTTACTCGGGATATTATAGCATTATATATTCAGGCGTTAGAAAAATATAAACTTGACAATATTAATAATAGTAACATTAACAATCTTAACACATACTTAGAAGGTGGCAATATAAGAACAAATCAAAACGAAAATAAGACTACACTATATAGAAAAACAATCAAATTGCAGTCTGCAGGTGACAATAATAAAAATTTTTCTTTAAACAAATAAAAATTCCCAAGAAATTAAAGCAAAGCATTAATAAAAAGTTAATTTCCTTTTTCCATGTACCCTTGAGACAATTCCTTTTTTCTTGGCAAAAATCACAGATTTTTTAGACAGTTCAAGTTTGAAATATTAATCGTCAAATCAATTATGCATCAAATGTACTTGGTGGGGTTGTGTTAAGCTATAAAGCACTCATTATTATAGTTATCATTCACAAGACAAAGTAGCATATAGCAGCCAAAAGAAGAAAGCGAAAAATAAGAAGCAATCATTGATGTGGAAGTCCAAAGAATCCAGAAAATGCGCTCATCATCAACAACCAGAATGGCATTGTCCAAAACCACTTATTAACCTAATGGAAAATGGTCCACCAACAAAATAATTAATCATTTCAAGGTACTTCTCCAATATATAATATCCTGGTATGGTAAACCTTATTCTAAACTTTTTCTTTATATGTTTTTCAACAGATTCTATAAAACCTTGTACCTTACGAAATTTATAAAACAAACACAATGATGAATAAAATTATTTTTTTTCTCAAAGTTAAATAATAATATATAATCTAAAATTAATGAATTTAATATAAAACTTCTGCAGGAAATGGAAAATTACAGGGAAAGACAGAGTTATCTAGATATTTTGATGGAAAGAAAGTTAGAAACAGAGGGAAAACATGATTGGAGATGCAATCTGAAAATTCAGCCGATCAAAAACAAAAACAAAGATAAAATTGAAGGACGCCAATCTTGCTTGGGGGTTTAACGTGGCCCCTAGCACTCCTCTTCCTCCAAATAATCTACCACATTTATTTTAACA